GGAGCCATCCCACTGCTCCCGGCAGCAGGAGAGCCTAAATCCAGAGGAACCAGGACCAGCTGGTGTCCAAGCACCAGCCAGAGGCTCAGGCATGGCTGGGTGCGGTCTCATCCTGCACCCCTGGTGCTCCTCCTGCCAGGGCTGCCCCCAAGGCCTGGTGGAAACGGGGACAGTCACCCGGGGGGTCCAGCACTGGCTGTGGGGGTGGCTGGACAATCCCATGGGGCTGGAAGGTGTGGAGGGAGGGGAAATTGGAGCCCAGCCTGGGGCAGGATGATGTGGCCAGTGCTGCCAGCCACATATCCCTGTGAGCCCTGTGTTTGACAATTCCAGAGTAATTCCTGAAATAAAAACCAAACCCATTTGGCCTCACTGCAAACCTAAGGGGAGCAGGGAAGCCTTTCCAAACATCCCTCCTACCATGGGATCCAGCCCACTCTCCCAGGAGAGCCCTTTTCCCCTGCAGGTTTCTCCAGGGATGTGGTGCCTGCCCAGGGGTGATGAGGGACAGGCAGGCACAGTGCTGTGACATGGGTAGGGGCTGCTCCACCTCTGCAGCCTCAACAGAACCATAGAATATCCTGAGTTGTTAGGGACCCACAGGGATCACTGAGTCCAACTTGTGACCCTGCACAGGACACTCCAAAAATCATTCCCAGATCAGGCAGAGGCTCTCAGAAATCTCCTCGGTTCACCTGTACCTGGCTCAAGGTTGTGCCAGGACTGTCACAGTGCTGTTGACTCCATCCAAGCCTCCCTGGGCCATCCAGGCAAACAGGATTGTTTTTGTTACACACAGAGACTGCTATGAAATTTCCTGCCCACATCTCTCCCAGGAGCAAGGAACAAGGAGGGGAGGGAGGAGGAAGGCAACTCCTGCTCATCCAAAACATTCTCTGCAAAAACACGAGGCTAGAAGAGGAACCAGTGAAACCATTAGAACCAGTTTATTGTCACAGCACAGCACAGAGGTCACAGCCCACTCCAGGCTCTTCCTCCCAAGGAGACACACAAGCTGTTTGGGGCAGGGATTAGCAGAGGAAGCTGCTGGCAATCTGCTCCCAACTTTCCTGTTAGATCACTAAGTGGCCTCTTCGCTGTACTAACGATACAGGGAGCTGCATTAACCCCTTCAGCACCAGCCCTGCTCCCTCTCCACACCCACTTCCACCCGGGAGCACAGCCACCAGGACCTGGCCTGGCCTCACTTCAGCATCCCTGGGGATGGTTGGCTCATGTCTCTCCTGCTGCCAGGATTCTCATGAGAAAGAAAACTGGAGCAGAGGGACTGCAGTACTCTCCGCCCTCCTCATCCCTGTCCCTATGTGCCCGTGGCAATGCCAACCCCATGGAACAGGGTTTGCCCAAAGCACCAGCAGCAAGAGCTGTGCTCCCAGGCCAGATCCCTTGGAGCCCTCACTGGGACAGCCCAGCACTCATTCCTATGAAGCCCAAATTAATTAGGGCCATGTTAAACAACTCGGCATCAGGCTGAAGGAGGCTGGAAGAGGCTGCCCAGAAACGCTCCTGCCGGCGTGGCACTGGTGAATCCAAGGCTCTCTCTGCTGGGAACAGGCTGCGTTGCAGCATAGCCAGCACTGAGCAGGGAAAACAAACCACCGGGAGCAGAGCAGGACACAGCCTGTCCCTGGGAGGGCTGGGAGCAGGGTCTGGCTGTTCCAACACCGGCTGGGCTGACTGGTGACACGGGTCAGGCACTGGGATCAACCAAACTCCAGAAGGCTGTTGGTTTGCCGACGCTGTGCTGTTGGTAAACACGGGGCTGAGGGCTGTGGGCTTGGGTTTGTTAAGAACAGTCGACAGGAGAGGGCAGTGGGGCTGGAAAAGAGCAGCTCCAAGGTACTCAGTGCCTGGAGGACACACGAGGAGGATGAGGATGCCTCGTCCTGTCTTTGGAACATAACAGAGAGGACACGGAGAGCATGATCCAACCCAGAGCTGCTGCTGCCCAGCACCAGGGGGGAGCAGCACAGTCTCTGGGATCACTTGTTGTCTAGCACCAGATCCCACAACCTCAACCACAGCCACTAAAAGTCTCCAAGGACCCTCTAGTCCTTCTCCTGCTGCCACAGCAATGCAGATTGAGGGTTGTGGCTTCAAGAACATAATAAATAAAGATCTGCAGTGTACTGAAGAGCATCTGCAAGCTGGCAAGGAAGCCTGAATCCAGGAGCAGCTAAATCTGCTCACCACCTGGCTGGTCAGGCAGCATTCCAAGCTCTCCATCATCCATGTGCCCCAGTGTCCACCACACGGCACCGTCTCCAACTGCCCTGCACTGGGCTGGAGGGGAAGGGGCTCCCTCGAGCCACTCCTGCAGCAGAGTCTTTGGACTGTTGATTTATGAAGCTTCAGGCCTTGTGTCTGGTACAGCATAACCTCATGTTCGCCCCAGCCTGACCTTCCTGTCTCTGAGCCCACGAGGAAACATCCACACGTGCTGACAGCAGAGTCCATCTTGGCCCAGCTGAATGTCATCAAAGAGGTGAACCCGGGGCTGGAGCAGAGCCAGGGAGGAAGGAATCCTGGCTCTCAACACAGCGAGAAGACTCCTTGCTGGCATTTCGGAAGGCTCCTCAGGTGTCTGTCAGCCCAGGTCTCACTCAGCACCGCGTGTTGCCAGTGCAGGATCCAAACTGTGAAGCAGCCCAGCTCTTCATCTCGCACGAGATCAACCATTTCCCCAAGCAGCACCACTGCAGCAAGTGCAGAGCTGAGCAAACAGGCTGAGCTTGGCCCAAGTCAAACCCCTCGAGCTGGTTTTACACAAGACAGAAGCATTTCCAGGCTGTAGAATAATGTGTGAGCTCCATGCTGCTCTGCCCATGCCCGGCACAAACCACAGTCCAACTTGAGCCAGGAGAAGGGACATGGAGCACGTCCAGGCAGGGTGAGGAGAGGAGAGTGAAGGGACTGAGAGGAGCAGAGACACCAGCATGATCCAGAGGGCTCCCAAGAGCAGTGCTTGCCCAGCCCTAACTGTTGCTCTGTGGGTTGGGATGTCCTGGGGCCTCTCTCAGAGCGAAGGCAACTGACCACCAAAATCAAACCTACAGCAGAGAATTTGGCTTCGGAAGTTTAGAGTTGCTGTTTAATCCCGAGACAGTGCAGCTGAGTGAGTTTAGGGTTTAAGTTACAAAAAAAAGAAAGCACTAGAAAATAATCTTGATACAAGAGCAATCATGGGCTGAGGTTCCCCATCCTGTGCAGGGAATGCTGCTCCACACCCTGCCCAGCACAGCTGGGATCTGCCGAGGCATTGCCTGCTCCCAGCACATGGCATGGCAAACTGTCCTGGGTGCAAGTGTCGTGGGGGAATCCCCAGTAGTGGGAGTTAAGATGCTGCCACCAGCTCTGGCTTTGGCCTGTTCTTGACGGCTGACTCCTCTGTGGAAGGAAAAGAGACTTGTTACAGAGACAGGGAATGTAAACAACCTGCAGCCATGCCCCAGGACTCAGAATACATTCTGCAGAGCAGCAAACACCTGAACAGCACCTGCACCAAGAAAAGTTGGTTATAAGTCATCCCACAATCCCAGGACGCTCCTTTCTCACAGCACCTGAAGGAATCATACTGTTTCAGAACATACCCAACAGAGTAAGCCATCAGCCCAGCAACACTGACCCAGGGCAGGAGTCACTTTTGGAGGGCAGGGACCTATTTTTGGAGGGCAGGGGGTAAACCAAGCTCTGCCCCTCACCCCTCTGACCTGACCCAACAAGGTTCACATGGCCAGACATGGTTTGTGTTTTGTTTGGCCACTGCAGTGCCAGCACACAGCGATGACATCTGAGTCCTGTTTATGAGTAAACAAGCACCAGAAAGAAACCAGCCCTGTTCCCCACATCTCAGATTGCTCCTGGGCAGGTTCCACAGAGAGGAAATGGCTTCTTCCAGCTCCTGGTCTGCACAGGAAAGGGAGGTCCAGCTCCTGTGAGTGGTGGCTCAGGGTTCTGCTGTCCCAGGAATGTTTTTGGCACCTCAGCATGGACAAACATCTGGTAATGCTCTGTGTGGGCTCCTTCCTTGCCAGGCAGTGCCACCAGTGCCTGTCTGGTCACCTCCTTCATGGGCTCTGTCTCACCACCCAGGTGGATTCCCACACAAACTCAGCTGCTGAGATCTCGGATCGCTAGGAGCAAACACTCATGTACCACCAGTCGTGTAGCAGCGCTGGGATCCCAGTGATCCTCATCCAGCTGGTTCCAAATCATGGAGAAGCAAGGTGAGAAGAGCTGTGAATCCTCACAAGCCTCAGTGAGATCCAGTGCTATGCAGGGTGAATCCAACATCCACAAAACAATGGTTCCTGCGTTGTGCTCACGTACAGGGCACGAGTCTGAGTGGGGTGGGAGAGTTCTGCCTGGGCTAAGCAGGGAAGGAGTTCCTCATGGAGCTTCATCATGAAACAAGGTGTCTCTGGCTGCCTCAGAGCAGGGGGAGCGTGACAAGAAGAGCAGATGTCACACAAGGGAACTCTCCATGGGAATGACCAGACGCCAATGGAACAGACACCTCGGGTGTTGAAGGGTGAGGGCTCAGCTGGACCCATCAGCTGGCATAGCCCAAAGCAGCAGGGCTCACCCCAGGGAGCTGGAATTCCTTCACACTTCCTGGGCTAACACGCTGGGAGAGGGTGTCAGGCTATGGCAGGGAACAGAGCAGCAGGAGAAGCCAAGGCTGCAGAGAGCATACCTGGGATCTTCTCTGGGAGCGGCTCGGAGGGAACTTCTGGAAGCTCCAACTGTTCCTGCAAGGACATGAAAGACACATGTGACCACAGGCCAAGGCTGTGGGCAAAGGCTGGGAATGGGAATGTAATTTCACCCCCCAACTGACCTCTGCCCCCAGCACTGAGGGAGGGATGGGCCTTCGCACTGCCCAGGAAACGAGTGCTAGAGATTAATTATTACATGACACTTAACGACCCTGTGCTGCCTGTGAGCTCCTCAGAGCAGAGGAAACACTCCCCACCTCAACCTCCACTGGCTGCTCCTTCCTTACAGTGCACTCAAATTCAGTCAGTGCCTGGAAGAACCCATGGAGGTGAGGGGATGGCACACACACTGACTCCAGGGCTTTGGAGATCTTCACTGGGTGAAGGGGAACAGAACTCCAGTAAAACCAGAGCTCAGCTGAATGGAACAGCAGCAAATAAAGCACAACCCTAAAAACATCCTCTTATGAATGACCTCCCTGTGCAGGGCAATTAGTGGATCTTTGATGACACAATAATTGGGCATAAACAGGCAAAATTGAGACAGTTAAAGTAGCTTTTTCCCATTCTCAGGAGCTCATCTCCTATTACAACTTCCTGAAAATGTGGACTTTAATTACAAGAACATCAATCCTACCTGAGTAATAGTATTTAATTCCTCTAGAATGGCATCTTCATCCTCCTCAGTCAGGTTGCCAGCCAAGAGCTCATCTATTTGCTGTGGGAGAGAGGGAAGGAGATGTATTCCCAGCCTGACGGCTCTCAGACAGGGCTGGGAACACTGTGCACACCCAGGGAGCTCTGCACAGCAGTCTGCTCCCAGCTACTCATACACACTGCACATACCCTCTGGTAATCCACAGCATCCTGGGTCTCTCCTATTATCCTTTCCACTTCCTCTATGGACATCACCTGGGGGGAAGAGCACAATGCAGGTGTGGGGAGGCCTGCAGGGAGGCAGGGCAGGCAGACAAGGCTGACCCAGGGCAAAGATCACACCTACCTGGTGCATCTTGTTCAGACACTCATTGCCTATTTTGAGGCCCTCAATGACCTTCATTTCAATCTGGGTGAATTCAATGTCCTGGACCTGGAATGGAAGGAGAGAGGGAAGAGCCATTGGCACAGCTGCCCAGGGCAGGGGGGGATATCCCTGGAGGGCTTGAACAGCCATGTGGATGTGGCACTTGGGGACATGATTAGTGGTAGCCTTGGCAGTGCTGGGGGAGCTGCTGGACTTGATGGGCTCAGAGGGATTGTCTCACCTAAGTAATGCTATGATTCCCATCATTAGCCAGGCACAGGCTGCCAGGACCCCCAGAGAACTGCAAGGAGGAATCAGCTCGGCCTTTTCTGCGCTAACAGAGGATTCAGTGACACCTGCACTAAGAAATATCCACACTAACAGCTGCACGAGCACGTTCAGCACTTGGTGCCACCTGAATTTCCAGCTGCCAGGCCAAGCTGAGGCCTCCCCAATCCCAAACACATCCAGGTCTGAAATGACAGGTCTGAGACAAGCCCAGGGCAGTTCCCACTCACAGACACACTGTGAGTAACCTCTTAGTAACTCACAAAACACATGTTTATAGTAAGCTGCACTGCAGACTCCATACACACACACTCACCACTTTGGCTCTCAGGGAGGAGTTGTGGCACACATACAATTTCAGAGACATCTGCCCTTGAAGGACAGAGGGACAAACCTCTGCCAGGACTTGCCAAGTGCAATGGAATCCCTCAGGATCCAAGGGAACCCCCACCCAGACACAGCCTTGGACAGGGCTCTCAGGGAGGACCCTCCTGGCTCACCATTCGCTCCAGGTTGCTGATCTGGTTGTCTGTTTTGTCCAGAAGTTGCTCTTGGTATCGTTTCTTCTTCAGCAGCAGAACAGCTTTCCTGGGGGACACACAGGGAGGGAAACTCAGCACAGGGGAAAGCAAATAGAACCCCAAAGAATCCAAACAAAGCCAAGTTTGGTCTGTGCTGCTGCTAAAAGGAGACAAATCCATGTGGAAAGGACGTGGCAGCTCTGAACTGCTCCTGTGGAGTGCAGGGATGGGCAAACTGGATGGTGGGAAGGAATTGTTCCCTGTGAGGGTGGTGAGGCACTGGAATGGATTTCCCAGAGCAGCTGGGAGTGTTCCAGGCCAG